TACATGATTTATTTACAATTTTTTATTAATTTTTTTTTTTAATAAATTAAATGTATTAGTGTTAATTAAATTTAATTAGGGTTAGGGTTAAGGTTTTTGCATCAGGTTATGTGCGTGACGTACACTGACGTCACGCGATCAGTCGGTTTCATGGAAACTGATACCCACCAAACAATGAGGGTGAACAATTCACCTTCACATTATTTGAAGATCGTGGGTTTACGTTGGACAAACTTGGTAAGTTTCTCTGCTCTCTAATACATACTTGTGGAAGTTTCTCTGTAGATAGATAGATAGATAGATAGATAGATAGATAGACTGATAGATAGATTGATTGATTGATTGATTGGTAGATAGGTAGGTAGGGGTTATAGGTATAGGTAGGGGGTATATGTATAGGTAGGGGGTATAGGTATTGGTAGGGGGTATAGGGCATAGATCATAGGTATAGGGTATAGATCATAGGTATAGGTATCGATCATAGGTATAGGTATCGATCATAGGTATAGGTATCGATCATAGGTATAGGTATAGATCATAGGTATAGGTATCGATCATAGGTATGGGTATCGATCATAGGTATAGGTATCGATCATAGGTATGGGTATCGATTATAGGTATAGGTATCGATCATAGGCATAGGTATCGATCATAGGTATGGGTATCGATTATAGGTATAGGTATCGATCATAGGTATAGGTATCGATCATAGGTATGGGTATCGATCATAGGTATGGGTATCGATCATAGGTATAGGTATCGATCATAGGTATAGAGTATATGTATAGGTATCGATCATAGGTATAGGTATCGATCATATGTATAGGTATCAATCATAGGAGGTATACCTATACCTCCTATGATCGATACCTATACCTATACCTCCTATGATCGACACCTCCTATGATCGATACCTATACCTCCTATGATCGATACCTACACCTATGATCGATACCTATACCTATACCTCCTATGATCGAACCTCCTATGATCGATACCTATACCTCCTATGATCGATACCTATTTGATCATAGGAGGTATAGGTATCGATCATAGGAGGTATAGGTATCGATCAAAGGTATAGGTATAGATCATAGGAGGTATAAGTATCGATCATAGGAGGTATAGGTATAGGTCATAAGTATAGCTATAGGTATCGATCATAGGTATAGGTATAGGTATCGATCATAGGTATAGGTATAGGTATCAATCATAGGTATAGGTATAGGTATCGATCATAGGAGGTATAGGTATCGATCATAGGTATAGGTATAGGTATCGATCATAGGAGGTATAGGTATCGATCATAGGAGGTATAGGTATCGATCATGGAAGGTATAGGTATCGATCATAGGGAATAGGTATCGATCATGGGTATAGGTATAGATAATAGGTATAGGTATAGATCATAGGTATAGGTATAGATCATAGGTATATAGGTATTGATCATAGGTATAGGTATAGATCATAGGTATAGGTATAGATCATAGGTATAGGTATCGATCATCGGTATAGGTATAGATCATAGATTATAGGTATAGGTGTAGGATAGTGCAGGCTTCTGCAGATATTAATTATACCGCCTTACACTAGCCGCCCCACATAAGCAATCACCACAAACAGCACACCTCATCGCTCCAAGTGATACATAATAATAGAACGCCCCTTAGTATCCGAGTACACTAATGACTCGAGGGCCAATCTTTGATGGCTAGTCCCCAGGTAGTGACTCGGTCCTCATCCCTTGAACCGTATAGTCCAGTTCTGTCCGAGCTCGTGATATTTCCTTGTTCGTCTACACCTATTCCTTAAATCCTCCTTTCTCCCATCACCTTCACCTCGCCGAGCTTCTTCGCGAACCCCCGCTCTAAGGTACGAAATTACGTGTATTTGGTTACGTATTCGGTCGGTGTTTGTAGACATCTGTGTAGTATCGTAGAGTGTTTGTTTAGGCTGTTAAAGTGCAAGCCACCTATGACGTATATTCTGTGGTGTAATAGAACGCACGGCGAGTAGCTTTTGTAATACAGAGTTCGTGTTATCTATTGACGAGACCGGACGGCTACCCTTAAGGCGACTACCTCGCACATGCTAAACCGAGAACCTGGAGAAGCGGGACGCGCAGAGCGTCCTTAGATTGGTGCTTGTGACCAGCGGTTTTTAGCTGGGTAGTTGAACGGTTTCGTCCATCCGATAGCGCACTCGTACGTCTCTTGTATGACTCTTTTCTAATATACGTTTTCTCTCTAAGCACGTGTTAAGCCGTGATCACCGTGACGGCAACTTGTTTTGGCAGCGATCCGAATGTTCTGCCATTTTGGAGATAAACACGCACACACGCATGCGTGGGTGGGGTGTACACTACCACGACTCAGACCCAACTCCCCAACTCCCCAACTCTCTCCTTTTTGTTTTCAGACGCGGATTTAGGCGATGATTTGATATATATACATGAGTTATTCAACCATTTACCATTAAATCATTTTTGTTAAGCTTTTCAGTATTTAATGGATATATCCATGACTGATCATCCATCCATCCATCCATTTTTTATCAGGTTATTAATGGTAACAAGACCATTTCACTTCAAATAGACATAGAGAATGAGTGCAATTGGATGTGTCTCGTTCAGCCTGCAACTTGTTTAGATCAACAGAATCTCATGGTTTTGCAGATGAAGGTATACCTTTATGAATTGTATACATAAATGTAAATGCTCTATTTTGCTGAGATTACTGACAATATTTAAGCATGGATTATGTTATGAGACAAAACGTGAATTAATGTAAGCTCATACTGATCGTGGAAATATAATGAGAATTATACACGTGATCAGAAAAAAGACCGATTAGGAAAAATGTGAGAAACGTGAATTTTATTTAATAAAGATAATAAATTTAACTAATTATAGTTCTGCCTTAATTGTGCCTATAAATATCCACTATACACACATTATTTAAACATTTGGCGATATGTAACTTTCTGAAAGCCTTGGTATATTGATGTAGATAAGGGAACTTAGAGCATTATAGGAACTTAAATTGACACTAGAGCAGCATGTGTGGTCCTGCACCATAGAGGCGGAAGTATTTCCATGCTAAATTACTTAGACAGTAGATTTGAATGTATTTCTTCTCTCGATACAGGAAGACATAGTCTATATAACCATACGAGACATCTCCGCAGGAGCGCAGTTGAAGGTTTGGTATGCACCTGCATATGCTGAAAAGCTCCAGAAAACCACCAAATCCAGGTACTGTTTACTTATGATTATTCGTTAACTAGTTAGAAGACCCCTCCAATTCTTAAAGTTTAACTGGCTTTAGTAGATCATGTATCAATCTATGATTTATCTTACATGTTACTGCATGTCTATTTAGGTGCAGATTTGTTTATTTTACATTTTTTGTTTCTGCAGAACCATTACCTTTGACATTGCCAGATACATGGAAAGATACCTAAGAGTGCAAATACTGGTAAGTAAAATGTGACAGCAGTAGCTATAAAAGATGTATTTTCTACCGTATATGTTAAAGATTGTATAGACTCAATATGGCAGTTAAGTATAGACAAAGGTTTTCCATATTGTGTATGGTTAAAATTCATTTGTAATACGTATTTATTTAATTCACATTTTATCTATAAATGTGGATCGTGTAATCATTTCAGTGAAGAAAGCCCTACGCCCGAAATCTCATCTTCATCATTTCAACATTCACTGCAAGAAATGCAATGTGGTTTCTCCAACAAGGGCTGATTTTGTTGCTCACCTCAGGAATGTTCATGGTACATTCACGAGAAGAAAACAGGTAATATACGGTGTTACAAGTAATTTTTAATCATACAATGATAGTATTGTAGTAGTAGTACTCTACTTGATTGTTTACAAAGGAACACACCTACACAGTAGTTTTATATTTGGCTTCTGAGTTTCAATCTGAATTACTGCAAAATTTTATGTTTTACTCTAATGGCCTTTATTAGTTATCATAAAAATCCAAACACTAATCAAACTATTTTGTGTAACAGAAGAACCCTGAAGTTGAAGAAGGCTCTGAACTTCCATCTGCAGCGGATAAAGAATTGGATAACTCTCCAGCAGTGAGCGAAGAGGCAAAACCTATTGACCCCCTAACACCTGAGCAAAGTAACTACTGTTGATAGCTCTGAAGCTCCTTCAACTAGTTATATTCCAAGGTCCAGGCGCAGAAACGTGAAACCAAAACGGTTCTTCGACGAAGACACGAAACGTTTCGAGCGGAGTGATTCTGCAAACTTTACTCTGGTTGTGGCTGCCAACCTCTCAAAATTACTTGACAAGAACGAAGATTTACAACATCGTATTTATTCATATCAACGGAACGAATATGTAGTCGTATATGCGGATGTTCTATCGAATATGCGAATACTTTCTGAATATGCCTGAATATACTTTTCCGAATACATGCTTTCCCGAATATGCGTAAAATCTCTTTGGTTCTTCCAGAAATCGTAGTTTGAAACGGATAATATCGAAATGGCTGGCAGCCGTAAGCGCCTAAAATACACTGACCCGGTGTACAGGGTGAAAGCACTTATTGTTAGTTTTTCTTCCCGCTTGGTGGCGGCACAAGACGGTAAAATCAGAACGGGCGCATTTACACTGGTGCTCTCAATGTGTGACCTCGACGGCGAAGGCGTCAACGAAGTAGGAGTAATCTCAGAAGTTAAGAATAGAGAAGAAATAGACGAGGAAGGTGAGAAGAACGACGCTACTGAAAAACTCGTACCAAACTCGGGACGCCTCGGTGATGACACGGCGGATGTGAATTGGACGTGTGACGTCTGTGATGCAACCCATGAGACGCAGGACCAGCTGCGATCGCACATCCTCGATAATCACGCCGTGGAATTTACCTGTGCCGACTGCCAGCTCACGTTCCTATGCCAGGAGAAGTTGCAGAACCATCTGTGTGAGGCCAGCGCCAGTTCGGGGTCGTTCTTCTATGCCAACTGCCCGAAGACGTTTGCGAACCAGCGGCTGCTCGATCGCCACACGACTTGCCACGATGCGTCGGGCGCATACTACTGCGAGACGTGCCACGCGTGTTTTGCGACGAGACCCGCGATGACGGACCACTCCTGCCGCTGTGAAGACGGCGAGGCTTTCCGCTGCGAGATCTGCGGCGATCGCTTCGTGAACGAGCTCTACCTGCTGCGCCACCTGGCGGCGACACACGAGCAGGGGCGTAGCTACGGGG